TGAGACTTGAACTGCGGTCAGCTATGTGAGAGAGAGTTCAACAATGTAACCATTACCCCATCTGCTGGCCCCTCTAGAGCAAACTTTTTCATTAAAAAATTTATTTATTTAATTTTATTTATTTATTCATTTATTTTTTAATTTGACCAGAGAGAGACAGAAAGAGAGAGAGAGAAAAAAAAAGTGAAAAAGCAAACCACCAGTTCTAGGACTTGAACCATAGTTGGCCATGTGGGAGTGTCCAGCTCCTTAACCACCATGCCACTTGCTAGACCCCCTCTAGAGCAAATTTTAAAAATAATAGTAATAAGTGAAACTATATAAATCATTAAAAAACACCAGTTGCTGAGGAGATTTAAACCAACTGGCTTAGAAAGTTTTGGAAGCTAGTCAGTTTGAGGACATGCTAAGTTTGAGGCTGTGATAGTAGAGTAATACAATAGATTACGGTTGCAGATTTATTTTTCTTTGTTTTTCTATATATTTTTTAAATATAACAAATGTTTATTTTTAAATTAATTAATAATTATTATTATTGTTTGATTTTGCTATAGGACACATGCCCTAGCTAGAGTGAGACAGAGAGAGAGAAGATGAGAAAGCAGGCTGCCAGGTCTGGGACTCAAACTGCAGTTGGTCATGTGAGAGTCCTGTGCCACCAGGCCACCTGCTGGCCCATGTTTTTCTTTTTCTTTTTTTAAGTTTACTTATTTCTTCTGTGAGAGAGAAAGAGAGATAACACCCTTAACAAGGTCTCATTTCTTTTTTTTTAAAGAATTATTTTATTTAACTTTATTTATTATTATTATCATTATTATTTTCCAGTTTGATCAGAGAGACACAGAGAGAGAGAGAGAAGAAGTGAGAAAACCCTTAACAAGGTCTTAATGCCATGCTCCACCCCAGCTCCAGCCAACTCCAGGTCATAGACATGCACATGCCCTGCATACTCAGGTGTCTGGACAAGAACCTAGAACCTTCTCATGTGGGCAAACCTCATACCACATTGCAGTTTAACACTATAGTGCTATCTGGTCCCCCAGATTTTTTTTTTTTTTTTTTGGAGAGGTTTTTTGCTATAGGGTGTGTGTGCTCACCAGACAGACAGAGAGACAGAAAGTGAGAAATTGCCCCCCAGGAGGGATGGCCACGCTGTAGTCCCTTCTCCTCCATTCTCCTCTTGGGATCTTGGGCACGCATGCACACGTGCCTGGCGTGAGTTTAAATCATTACCCTAACTGCTGGTTCCCGTTTATGATTATTTTGTTTTTAATTTTCCATAGGGCACATGTGCTCACCAGAGAAAGAGATAGAGAGAGAGAGAGAGAGAGAGAGAGAGAAAGCAAGCTGCCAGAGAAAGCAAGCTGCCAGGTCTGGAACTGAAACCATTGTTGGCTGTTTGGGAATCCAGTGCCTCAACCACTATGCCACCTGCTGGTCCTACATGATGTTTTTATTTTTGTTTTAAATAATTATTTTATTTAACTTTATTTATCCATTTACTTATTTATTTTAATTTAACCAGAGAGGGACAGAGTGAGAGAGAGAGAAAGTGAGAAAGCAAGCCACCTGGTCCAGGACTCGAACCGCAATTGGCCATCTGAGTATCCAGTTCCCTTAACCACCATGCCACCTGCTGACCCCTCCTACATGATGCTTTTAAAAAAAATTATATTGGGGACCAGCATTTAGTGTAATGGCTATGTCGCTGGACTCCCATGTAGTCAACCACGGTTCGCGTCCCGGACCCGGTGGCTTAAAACTCACGCCGGGCACGTGTGCGTGTGTGCCCAAGATCCCGAGAGGAGAATGGAGGAGAAGGGATTGCAGCGTGACCATCCCCCTGGGGGGTGATTTCTCGCTTTCTATCTCTATGTCTCTCTCTGTCTGTCTGGCGAGCGCACGCGCCTTATAGCGAAAAAACCTCTCCAAAAAAAAAAATTGTACTTATCTATTTACTTCATGAGTGCGAGAGAGAGAAAGAGTGAGAGAGAAAAAAAGAGCAAGAGAGAAAGACAACAACCCCAAAAGAATATCAATGCCATGATGTACCGCTAGCCTTCAGCCAACCTTTGATCATAGGCATGTACATCTAACATACTCAGAATATTATCTGGACTTGAGTTAGAAACTTTCTTGTGGGATTGTCTCAAAATGTTAAATTTATGACTGTGTCAACATTTGGTCTCCCATGATACTTATTTTGTTAATTTTTTTCCCCATTAATAACCCCCTTTATAAGAAGACTTAATGATATTTTTCCCTGGGACCAGCAGATGGCGAAATGGTTTTACCCTGGGCTCCCACATGGCCGGCCACTGTTTCAGTTCTGGATCTGAAGGCTTGAAACTCATAGGAGGCGCGCATTTGCCTCTGTGTCCGTCCAGAGTCCCAAGAGGAGAATGAAGAAGGGATTGCAGGCCTGGTGGTTGCCAGGGATGGGCTGGGGGTGATTTCTCACTTCCCTTCTCTCTAGTGAGCCTATGTGCCCTATAGCAAAAAATCTCTCAAAAGAAACTACTACCAAAAATTGACATACACATATGCTGCTTAGTATTTTTTCACCCAGGCTTTTTTGGCTTTTTATCTTTAGGTTTGTTGGATTCTTTAGATTTTGATTGTTATTGTCCTAAGATCCTTTTTTTTTTGAAGGTTTTTTGCTATGGGGCACATGGGCTCGCCAGAAAGAGGGAGACAGAGAGATAGAAATCGAGAAATCACCCTCCAGGAGGGATAGCCATGCTGCAATCCCTTCCCCTTGATTCTCTTCTCAGGATCTTGGGCATGCACGCACATGGTCCTGGTGTGAGTTTAAGCCACCGCATGGGAGTCCAGCAACATAGCCATTACACCAACTGCTGGTCCCCCTAAGATCCTATTGAGAAACTGGTATTTAGATTTATTTTTATCATATAACTAGAGGAATGAGCTTATGTTTGCTTCCTCCTGTACAAATTGTTGCATCTGAGTCAACTATAGAATTTGGTTTGCCTTGTTAAGACATCTGAGGGAGATATAATATCATGTAACTAAAGTAGAAAGCTGTTAATAGAGAAAGGAAGACAGGTTACTCACAAAGGACATTGGTTCTCAAACTTAAATGTTACTAGAAATCACCTGGGCATTTCTTTTATTTTTTTTGAAAAAGTGAGAAAGCACTCCCTAGCGGGGATGTCCACCCCTCATTCCCTTCTCCTCCATTCTCCTGTCAGGATCTTGGGAATGCATGTACAGGTGACTGGCGTGAGGTTTACTTTTTTATTTTTAATTTAACTTTATTTATTAATGTTATCATTTTTAAATTTTTTAAAGAAGTATTTTATTTAACTTCATTTTTTTATTTACTTATTTTAATTTGACTAGAGAGGGACAGAGTGAGAAAGAGAGAGGGAAAGTGAGAAATCAAGCCACCAGGTCCGGGACTTGAACCATGGTTGGCCATGTGGGAGTCCAGTGCCCTTAACTACCATGCCACCTACTGGCCCCATTATTTTTTAATTTGACCAGAGGGAGAGAGACAGAGTGAGGGAAAGTGAGAAAGCAAGCCACCAGGTCCAGGACTTGAACCATGGTCAGCCATGTGGGAGTCCAGCGCCTTAACCACCACACCACCTGCTAGCTGCCCAGGTGTGAGTTTTAAGCTGCTGGGTCCAGGACTTGAACTGTGGTCAAGCACTTGGGAGTATAGCCATTACACCATTTGCTGGTTCTGACCTGGGCATTTCTTTAAAAAAAAATTATTATTATTTTATTTTAGTTAGTTAGTTATTTAAATTTGACCAGAGATGAATAGAATGAGAGACATAGAGAGAGAGGGAAAGTGAGAAGACAAGCCACCAGGTCCATGACTTGAACTGCATTCTGCCATGTGGAAGTCTAGCGTTCCATTTTTTTTTGAGGGGGGAGGAGGTTTTTGCTATAGGGCGTGCATGCTTGCCAGAAAGACAGAGAGAGACAGAGAGACAGAAAGTGAGGAATCACCCCCCAAGGGGATTGCCATGCTGCAATCCCTTCTCTTCTATTCTCCTCTTGGGATCTTGGGACATGCACGCACACGCGCCTGGCATGAGTTTAAGCCACTGGGTCCAGAACTTGAACCATCATCGACTACATGGGAGTCCAGCGACGTAGCCATTATGTCAGCTGTTGGTCCCTGCTCTTAACCACCATGTCACCTGCTGGCCCCTGGGCATTTCTTTCTTTCTTTTTAAAGAATTATTTATTTATTATCATTATTTTTCTATTTGACCAGAGAAAGAGTGAGAGAGAGAGAGAAAGTGAGAAAGCAATCTTCCAAGTCCAGGACTTGAACTGTGGTCAGCCATGTGGGAGTCTAGCACCTTTAACCACCATGTCACCTGGTGGCCCCTCCCTGGGCATTTCTTAAAATGCAGATTTTTAGTTCATTATCTGTGAGGCTTTTTTTTTTTAAATACCCATTCTATTTTGTTTTATTTATTATTATTATTATTTTTAATTTCACCAGACAGAGAAAGAGAGAAAGGGAAAGTGAGAAAGCAAGCCAGTAGGCCTGGGGCTTGAACTATGGTCAGCCTTGTGTGAGTGCAGTGCCCTTAACCACCACGCCACCTCCCAGTCACTTGTGAGGTGTTGCTTAACATTTGGAATTCTGCATTCCAGACAAAGCTCCCAAGAGATGTTTTTGCTGCTGGTCTGTAGGCACTTTGAGGAGTAAGAACTGAGGGGTTTAGGACCAGCAGTTAGCATAATAGCTATGTTGCTGGACTCTCATGTAGTTGACCATGGTTCAAGTCCCAGACCTGGTGGCTTAAACTTACGTTGGGTGCGTGTGCCTGTGTGCCCAAGATCCCAAGAGGAGAATGGAGGAGAAGGGAGGAGAAGGGATTACGGCATGGCCATCCCCCCTGGGGGGTGATTTCTCGCTCTCTGTCTCTCTCTGCCTTTCTGGCGAGTGCACACACCCTATAGCAAAAACCTTAAAAAAAAAAAATACTGAGCGGTTTGTTATTCCCAAACAGATAATATTGAAGAAATGCTGCTTGTATCGCTCCCCTTCTATGCCAGAGAATTTGAACAGACCAAGACTCAAGCAGGTGTTAAAATTCAAGGACAATTTAATACCAGATAAAGTAAAAAAGAAGTATTGTTATGGCCAGAAAGAACTCAAGAAGGTAAGAATTTTTTAAAGAGAATCTGTTACTCTTCTTTCTTATGGTCTTCTCTGCTTTTTTGGTATGGAGATTGCTTTGGTATGCCTTCCTTGTCTTATTCCTCATTACTTTTACCTCTTTGTTCTTTCCATCTTTTTGTCTTATCTGCGTCTATATATTAAATATTTCACAGGACCAGCAGTTGGCGTAATGGCTATGTCGCTGGACTCCCATGTGGTCGACTGTGGTTCAAGTACCGGACCCAGTGGCTTAAACTCACCCTGGGCACATTTGCCTGTGTGCCCAAGATCCCGAGAGAATAGAGGAGAAGGGATTGTGGCCTGGCCATCCTCCCTGGGGAGGTGATTTCTCACTTTACGTCTATCTGTCTCTCTCCTTCTGGCGAGTGCATGCATCCTATAGCGAAAAACCTCTCCAAAAAAAAAAAAAATTACAATAAATATCTATATTATACTTTTAGAAATTATCATACTGTCTTCCCAATCCTCATTTTTTTTTAAACTTTACTTATTTATTCATTTACTTTTAATTTGACTATAGAGAGACACAGAGAGAAAATGAGAAAGCAAACCAAGTCCAGGACTTAAATCGTGGTTGGCCACCTGGGAGTGTCCAGCACCTTAACCACAATGCCATCCGCTGGTCCCTACAACCCTCTTTTTAAAGATGAATGAATACAAAGAAACTTTGATTGTAATGTATACTTTATGTTGTTTTACATACGGTCTGACACAAACAATATCACATCGCAGAAATGGTTTAGTGAAAGGTGACTTTTGAAAAACTTAGCCCTGAGCCAGTAGATGGCATGGTGATTAAGGCACTGGACTCCCACATGACTAACTGCATGGTGGTTAAGGCACTGGACATTAAGGCACTGGAATCCCAAATGGTGGACTGTGGTTCAAGTCCCTGGCAGTTTGCTTTCTCGCTTTCCCTCTCTTAATCTGTCTCTCTCTGTCTCTCTCATTCTAGTGAGCATACATGCCCTATAGCAAATTAAAAATTAATTAATTAATTAAATTGAATAATTCTGAAAAGAAAAGTATATTAGATGAGTGTGCATGTGTGCCTAATTTCTTTTTCTTTTTTTTTTTTTTTTGGAGAGATTTTCGCTGTAGGGCGCGTGTGCTCGCCAGACAGACAGAGAGAGACATAGAGACAGAAAGTGAGAAATCACCCCCCGGGGGGATGGTCACGCCGCAATCCCTTCTCCTCCATTCTCCTCTCAGGATCTTGGGCATGCACGCACACGTGCCCAGTGTGAGTTTTAAGCCACCAGGTCCGGGACGCGAACCGTGGTCAACTACATGGGAGCCCAGCGATATAGCCATTACGCTAACTGCTGGTTCCCATATGTGCCTAATTTCTTGAGAGAATTGAGAACTAAAGGAGAAGGAATTGCAGCATGAGTATGTCCCACTGAGGGGTGCTTGCTCTTCCCCTTCTGTCTCTGTCTCTGTCTCTGACAAGCACACGTGTCCTCTAGCAATGAAAAATATATATAATTGTGGGCCAGCAAGTGGCATGGTGGTTAAAGGTGCTGGATTCCCACGTGGCTGACCATGGTTCGAGTCCTGGACCTGGTGGCTTACTTTCTCACTTTCCCTTTCTCTCTCTCTCTGTGTCTCTGTCTGGTCAAATTAAAAAATAATAATAACAAATAGAATTAAATAAATAATTAAAAAATATATAATTGTAATCTATAATGTGTGATATATGATTTATTTAGCCAATAGTCTATTATGGAGCATTTAACTTACTATACTCTGTTATAAACGTACTAGGATAGCCATACTTATAGCCAGATTTTTATGCATGTCTTTGTTTCCTCAGAGAAACAAGTGTAATTATTAGAGCAAAGACTATCATATTGTTAATGAGCCTGTACTTCCCTTGCCCCAATCCCCTGGTTTTTAAACCTTTAATGTGAAGATTGGTGGTGGGTGGGATTCTTGTCATCCTCAGGGCTTAGATCTAAAGAAGACAGTCTCTCTCTGTGACATAAATATCACTCAGATGCTGGAGGAAGATTCCAGCCAAGGGCAACTGATTGGTGATTTCTCCAAGGTGAGTTTGGTTACACCCATGCTATATTTCAGTGAGTCATTTCAGATCCAAATCTTTTCTTCTGTTTGCAGAGGTTGCTAGATAAGATTATGCATCCTTACCAAATATTCTGAAAATCTGAAGGTGTTCTAATGGTAGATCTAGGCCCTAAGCCTTTTAAAACAGTGGGGATAATATGAGACTTCTTTTTGTTTTTCTTTTTACTGTTTTCTTTTTTAAAAATATGTGGGGCTGGAAGATGGCATAGTGGTTAAGGGCACTAGATTCCCACATGGCCTACCGCAGTTTGTGTCCTGGACCTGGCAGCTTGCTTTCTCATTTTCCCCCTCTCTCTGTCCCTCCCCTTCCCCATAGGGCATATATGCTTGCCAGAGAGAGAGACAGTGAGAGGAAACGTGAGAAATCACTCTCCACAGAAGATGACCATACTACAATTCCTTCTCCATTCTCTCTGGATTTTGGACATGCATGCACCTGTGCCCAGTGTGATTTTCAAGCTACCAGGCCTAGGACTTAAACTGTGGTTGATCATGTGGAAGTCCAGCACCTTAACCACTATGCTACCTGCTGGCTCAAGAAAATAATTTTTAAAAGTATATAGATTGGGTCCAGACGGTAAAGCATAGTACTCTGCAAGGCTGACCCATATGGGAAGAATCTATATTCATGTCCAGAAACTTCCCTGAGTGCAGTAGGCAGATGTGTGCCCATGATCCAGGGGTGCCTGAGGCTAGGGGTAGATTATGGCATTTGGACCCTGTTGAGAGTTCTTTTTCTCACATTCATGGAAGACATAAGTAAAACTTAAACACACATACACATACATATAAATAAAATAATTAGTCATTACAGAAAAGATAGAAAGTAAGAACACTTATCCCAGACCTTATCAACCAGAAAAATAATTACTTGGTATATATTCTTTTTTGGTTTTAGGAACTGGAGATTAGCAGTTAACATAATGGCTATGTCGCTGGACTCCCATGTAGCTGACTACAGTTAGAGTCCCAGATCCTTTAAACTCACGCCAGACAACTGTGTGTGCGTGCCCAAGATCCCTAGAGGAGAAGGGATTGCGGAGTGGCCATCCTCCCGGGGGGGTAATTTCTCACTTTCTGTCTCTCTGTTTCTCTCTGTCTTTCTGGTGAGTGCACACGCCCTGTAGCAAAAACTTCTCCAAAATAAAAAAAAAAAAATTATTATTTCAGGCCAGCAGGTGGTGTAGTGATTAAAGTACGGGACTCCCACATGGGACTCCCTCACGGGATTCCCTCGGTTTGAGCCCCAGACCCAGAGACTTGAAAATCATGCCAGGCATGTATTTGTGCGTGCCCAAAATCCTGAGAGGAGAATGGAGAAGGAATTGTGGTATGGCCATCCTCCCAGGAGGTGATTTCTTGTTTTCTGTCTCCCTGGTCAGCATACATGGCCTATGGCAAAAATCTCTCCCCCAAAATTATTTATTTAATTTTATCTATTGTTACTAGTATTTTAAAATTTGCTATAGGGCACATGTGTTCACCCGAGAGAGACAGACAGACAAAAAGCAAGAAAGGAAGCCACCAGGTCCCAAACTGGAACTGTGCCCAAGATCCTGAGAGGAGAATGGATGAGAAGGGATTGCGGTGTGGCTATCCCCCCTGGGGGGTGATTTCTCGCTTTCTGTCTCTCTGTCTTCCTGGCGAGCGCATGCGCCCTATAGCAAAAACCTCTCTCCTCCAAAAATAATATATATATATATATACACACAGACACACACACACATATATATACACATATACACACACACACACCTTTTCATGTTGACAAACAGTTCTGCTTTATCATTTCATCATTTTGAATAGCTCCATGTTATTTCACTGCACATAATTTATTCATAAATACCTTTTATTTTTTTTTTTAAGAGGGATTTTTCCTATAGGGCGCACGCACTCACCGTAGAGGCAGAGACAGAAAGCGAGAAGTCAACCCCAAAGGGGATGACCATTCCTCAATCCCTTCTCCTCCAGTCTCCTCTTGGGATCTTGGGCATGCACACACATGTGCCCGGCATGAGTTTTAAGCCACTAGGTCTGGGACTTGAACTGTAGTTGACCATGTGGGAGACCAGTGATGTAACTGTTACACCGTCTGCTGACCCCCATAAATCCCTTCTTGTAGGACGTTTACTTTCACAGTTTTCCTTACAAACAATACAGAGATGGACATGTTAGTAGACAAATCTGAAACTTTATGCATATCTGAGATTAGTTCCTTAAGATCAGTTCTTAGAAATGTAATGCTGTGGGCCAGCCTGTGGCACAGTGGTTCAGGCAACTGGATCCCACATGGTTTGTACATGCATTACCAAAATCCCAAAAAGAGGGAGAAACAGAGGAAAAGGGATTGTAGCACAACTATTCCCTATAAGGTATGCTTTCTCATTTCCCCTTTCTCTGTCTTTCTCCAGCAAGCACATGTACCTTCTGACCAAATTTATATATATGTATATATATATATATATATACACACACATATATATACATACATATACACATATGGATATATATAATATTGTTTGGTTAGGAAGAAATATAATTGATGCATATACACATTATAAAGATCATTTATTTTTGAAGGCCTCTGAAATTTTAGAATTCATTTGGAAAGGACAATGTATCAGTCTTTGATTTCAAATTTGGGTGTGGAATTCTTGCTGTTATTTCAGCTCTTGGGTATTTCTAGGTATGTGTGCTGCCAACCGTGTCGGGGAGACACCAAGATCTGAAGTACGTCAACCCAGAAACAGTAAGCAGATTTCTGGAGATGGTAACTGGTTACATAAGCTACCATCTGGTCCATTCTGTCCCTAAAATCCCCACTTGCATTTGTATTTCTTTTACTGTGTTCTCTCACATGGGCTTCTTATTCAACAGAAGCTATATTGAAGGACTCTTTTATCCCATTCTTCTATCTTCTGTATTTTTTAGTTAGATATATGATACATAATTATTGTTTTAAAATAAAAAGAGAAAAGAAAGGGAGGAAGTGCAAAAAGGGAAAAGGGGGGAAATCACTCAGGGTAACTATTCATCTTGGCTTACATATTAGAATCTCGTTTACACCTATTGGTAATTATTAGTAGTAGTCTCAAAAGCCTTCTAGTTTGTACAGTAATTGGTCATCCTACCCACCTGTGCCATCAGAGGTAACCACTAGTAATATTTTCCTTAGGGCCTTCCAGATTTTATTCTAGCATGTGTTTTATAAAAATGTGATTGTGGGGCTGATAGGTTGTGTGATGGTTGGACTTCCACATGGCTGACCATGGTTCAGGTCCCAGATCTAGCAAGTCTTTTCCTCACTTTTCCTCACTTTTTCTCTCTCTGTCTCTGTCTGGTCAAATTTTTAAAATAATAATAAATAAAATAAAATAATAATTTTTTTAAACAAGTGATTATGACCCAGCCTCTGTGGTGTAGTGTACTAAACTGCAGTGGTGGAAGCCACATGGCTGACTGCAGGTTCAGATCACCTGTCTGGTTAACCTAAAACATGCCAGGTGTGCCCCCATGATTCTGACAGGTTGGAGGGCTGGAGAAAGAGTATCATAGAGTGAGGAGACCCTGTTGAGGATGCTGCTTTCTTCCCTCCACCACCTCATACATGTACATGAGCTCTCATGAATAAAATAAGTTTAAAAAAATAAAAGTAATGAAAATGTGATCATATGGACCAGCAGATGGCCTAATGATTACATTGCTGGACTCCCACATAGTTGACCACAGTTCTAGTCCTGGACCCAGTGGCTTAAAATGCCCAGTATTTGTGCATATGTGCCCAAAAATCCCAAGAGGAGGATGGAGGAAAAAGGATTGCAGCATAGCCAGCCCCCTGAGGAGTGATTTCTTGTTTTCTGTCTATTTCTCCAGCGAGTGCATATACCCCCTATAGCAAAAATCTCTCTTAAGAAAAAAAAATGCAATCATGATGAACACGTAGTGTTGCAATTATCTTGGTAAGACATTATGAGTATCTTTCTGTAATAATAAAAAAAATCTGTATTATCACTTTAATGGCTATATAGCATTATGTTTTAATGGCATATATAATTAATTTAACCAAACCCCCATTTTGAATATTTAAATCATTTCTAATATTTTGATAACCTGAAGCAATCCTGAGATGAATATCATTGTGCTTCCATCTTTGTGTACTTTTCTGTTTACTTAACATGTTATAAAAAAAATTAGAGTCCAAGTGTAATTACATTTACTTATATATATGTATTTATCAAGTTCCCTCCAGAAATGCTGAACTTATATCCTTACAAGTAGCATAAGTTTCCTCTTCTAGTTATCAATCTTTCCCTTCTATGTCCTTTTCTGCAACACTTGCTTTCTTCCTTTATAATGGCACAAAGAGAACCCATTCCCATCTCTTCTTGGAAAACTGGGATTTCTAACTGCTACCTCTGTCACTGCAGAAGTCCTTTGAGATTCCCAAGAGGCTGATTCCAGCTATACCTGTCACCAGATGAGACCATGAATATGGTTTTCCTTGGTGTCTTGGCAAAAGCCATTTGGGTTCTCTACAAAGGCCAGTCTCTATCTCATCCTCTTATGTGGGGTGGGGTTGAACCATTGCCACATTTTAGTATAGGATGACTTTGGAGGCTGGGCATCCAGTGGAATCCTGGGTGACTAATAGGAGTGTGTACATAGGGAAGGACTGAGTAACTAGCTCTTCTCCCCTTCGGAGACAGTGGATAAGGTATTCAACAATTTTTTTCTGTGCAGGTGGCTGCTTTACTGTTGGGGAAGTTCCGGGGTCTGATTGAAAAGTTTTATATCATTGATTGCCGTTATCCATATGAGTACTTAGGCGGACACATCCAGGTAAGATTATGTTGTGGACATTAGCTAGGGAGGTGCTAGAGATAGCTGTTGAGAAGAGTCTGTGGAAAAAGGATGCTGTGAACTTTAGAAACTGGTTAGAATGAAACATTTGGGGTACATCAAGGCTGACATCGTCATTTCTTTTCTTTTTTTTCCAAGAGAGATTTTTGCTATAGGGTACATGTGCTCACTGAAGACACAGAGAGACAAACAGAAAGCAAGAAATCACCCTCAAGAGGGATGGCCACTCTGCAATCCTTTCTCCTCCAATCTCCTCTTGGAATTTTAGGCAGGCACACACATGCACCCAGTGTGAATTTTAAGCCACCTGGTTTGGAACTTGAACTGCGGTTGACTATGTGGGAGTTCAGCGACATGACCATTATGACATCTGCTGGTCTCATTCCTGTTTTAATTCTATGTACTTAAGCAACTCATTTCCCTTTCCTTCTTAGAACAATCTCCTTTTCTTCTCTAGGCCTTCTACCTAGAAATAAAAACATTAATCTGGGACCAGGAGATGGTGTAATGGTTACGTCACTGGACTCCCATGTAGTTGAATGTGATTTGAGTCCTGGACCTGGCAGCTTCAAGCTCACACCGGGTGGGTGTGCTTGCGTGCCCAAAATCCAAAGAGGGGGACAGAGGAGAAGGGATTGTGGCGTGGCCATTCCCCCCAGGGGGTGATTTCTTGCTTTCTGTCTCTCAGTCTCTCTGTGGCAAATGCACGTACCCTATAGCAAAAATCTCTCTAAAAACAAGAACCATTTGTCCAAGGATTGTGAAACACTTTGCATACCCATACTGCTCATAGACATTCCTTGTAATGATCTTTACACTTCAGGTTGTTTGATTCTATGAACGGCTATTGAGCATCTACTGTATGCCAAGATCTATGCCAAGCCTTGAAGTTAGATATAGGAATATACTCAGGTCTCTTCCCTGTTTATTGTCTAGCTATCAGCCCCAAATTTCAGTCATTTCTAAAAAGTTATGTCCACAGGCCCTTGAGGAAATTCTTATTAAAATTCTTCTTCTGTAGGGAGCCTTAAACTTGTATAGTCAAGAAGAAATGTACAACTTCTTTCTGAAGAAGCCCATTGTATCTTTGGATACCCAGAAAAGAATAATCATCGTGCCGGGACGCGAACCGTGGTTGACTACGTGGGAGTCCAGCGACATAGTCATTACGCTAACTGTTGGTTCCCAATTGTCACTTTTCTTGACCCTCCTATAGACTGGAGAAAGTCTACCACTGGAGCAGCTGTCTTAGACCCCGCAGTGGAAGACCTATCTTGACAGTGGCAGAGTTGCATCCCCCCCCCTGCCCCCAGGCTGGAACAGTAGTTGGCCAAGACCATCCACCAGCCTCTAGCCTCATAAGAGAGAAATAAATTCCCTTGTTATGTCAGCCATTGTTTTTTTTTAATTGTGTTTTTGATCTGCATATAATCATTGTGGAGTACACTATGGTTTCTCAAAGTGTGCACAGAGTGTGTAATAATCAAACCAAAGATGCAGACATATTCATCTTCTTCAACACTGAACGCTGCATTACATTGTACATATTCGATAATAATTTTGCATGGTTTTTTTTTGAGAGGTAGGGGTGTCTATTGAATTGTCTATGAAATCAACCTAAGTCCCCAAAACTGATGAATGGGTTAAGAAAATGTGGCACATATATGCAATGTAATACTACTTAGTCATAAAGAATCATGATAATTTGTCCTTTGACATAAAGGACAAGCCTAGAGGAAATCATGCTAAGTGGGAAAAAAAATCATGCTAAGTAAAAAACAAGCATTTTGTCTCCAGTTAACATATACTGAATGTCCACACACTGTTAGAAATTGAAAGATTCATGGCATCGAGTATAGAGAATAATGGCAGAGAGCAGGAACTGCACAGGGTGTGTGTGTGAAGCGTTTGGGAGAAAATGATGAACAGATACAGGAAGGTGTAAACAAATGGAATAGGTTATAGAATGGTGTACCATAGCAGAGGAAATCATCATTGGCAAGCCATTGTCTTTTGAGCCTGTTATAGCAGCTTGACCTATACCCTAACTCAGCTATCCCAATGTCTCTACCAGCTCCAAAGACAGTTATTTCTACAGACATTATTCTCTCTCTCGCCCTTTTTTTTTTTTTAGAGACAGAGAGATTTTTGCTATAGACTGCATGTGCTCCCAGGGAGACAGAGAGACAGAAAGCAAGAAATCAGCCCCCAGAGATATGGCCACACCACAATCCTTTCTCCTCCGTTCTCTTCTTGGGATCTTGGGCATGGATACACATGCACCCAGTGTGAATTTTAAGCCACCTGGTTTGGAACTTGAACTGCGGTTGACTATGTGGGAGTTCAGCGACATGACCATTATGACATCTGCTGGTCTCATTCCTGTTTTAATTCTATGTACTTAAGCAACTCATTTCCCTTTCCTTCTTAGAACAATCTCCTTTTCTTCTCTAGGCCTTCTACCTAGAAATAAAAACATTAATCTGGGACCAGGAGATGGTGTAATGGTTACGTCACTGGACTCCCATGTAGTTGAATGTGATTTGAGTCCTGGACCTGGCAGCTTCAAGCTCACACCGGGTGGGTGTGCTTGCGTGCCCAAAATCCAAAGAGGGGGACAGAGGAGAAGGGATTGTGGCGTGGCCATTCCCCCCAGGGGGTGATTTCTTGCTTTCTGTCTCTCAGTCTCTCTGTGGCAAATGCACGTACCCTATAGCAAAAATCTCTCTAAAAACAAGAACCATTTGTCCAAGGATTGTGAAACACTTTGCATACCCATACTGCTCATAGACATTCCTTGTAATGATCTTTACACTTCAGGTTGTTTGATTCTATGAACGGCTATTGAGCATCTACTGTATGCCAAGATCTATGCCAAGCCTTGAAGTTAGATATAGGAATATACTCAGGTCTCTTCCCTGTTTATTGTCTAGCTATCAGCCCCAAATTTCAGTCATTTCTAAATATTGCCAATGTCCACAGGCCCTTGAGGAAATTCTTATTAAAATTCTTCTTCTGTAGGGAGCCTTAAACTTGTATAGTCAAGAAGAAATGTACAACTTCTTTCTGAAGAAGCCCATTGTATCTTTGGATACCCAGAAAAGAATAATCATCGTGTTCCACTGTGAATTCTCCTCAGAGAGGGGCCCCCGAATGTGAGTGTCTCGAACAGGTAGAGTATATGATGCAAATAGATCTTGAGTTGGACTTCCCAGACTAGTTCAGACAGAGACTGAGTGAATATTCTCTACAACAGTTTGAAGAGAGATTGAAGGAAGGCCTATCTATAGTTCAAGTGTAGCAATAAAGGAAAAATACTGGGAATGAGGTCCCATGGAGGGAAGGAGGAAGAGTGGTATTACTTGGACTTTATTTTGCAAACACAATGATATCTGAAGGTCCTTTTTGGAGTTAGCAATGGCCTGTACTTTCTCCCTCTTTTAAGTGAATGGCCCATAGCTTGCCTGATTTTGCTTCTTTCTACCTTACCCATCTCTTGGTTTTCCTCTAAAGGTGCCGTTCTCTAAGAGAAGAGGACAGGATGCTGAACCAATATCCTGCTTTGTACTACCCGGAGCTATATATCCTCAAAGGGGGCTACAGAGATTTTTTTCCAGAATATATGGTAAGGAGTAGGGCAAAGGGGGAGCCATAACACTTAACTCCCAGGGCCTGCAAAGCACTCTGAGAAGAAACTGCTGCTCTTTAGCTGCTGCCACAGCAATGCTGTCCCCTACTTTACAGGAGCTGTGTGAACCACAGAGCTACTGCCCCATGCATCACCAGGACCACAAGGCTGAGTTGCTGAGGTGTCAAAGCCAGAGTAAAGCACAGGAAGGGGAGAGGCAGCTGCGGGAGCAGATTGCCCTCCTGGTGAAGGATGTGAGCCCATGATGATGGATCAACCACTGGCCCCTACCAAAAGACACTAGAAACCCTGAGCAGAAAGAGCCCATCCTCTTTATGGCTAAACCAAGATTGTGAAAAGATGTCTGCTCACCAACAAACTGTCTGATGAAAACCCAAGCCTGGCTTTCAGTAGAGCTCCTGGCTAGTGGCTGAATCCTGTAGCAGGCTCTATAAGGTGTAGTCTTGAGTTGCACAGAAATTTAATGCATTCCTCTTCCCAACTATGCACCATGTCTTCTCAGAAGCCAGCAAGCTCTTTCTCTCCCTGGGCTTCTGGATATATAGGAAAATTGGCCACCTTCTTTCTCTGTATTTCCCTTGTTTCCTCTTTTCCCACCCTGCCCCCATGAGAAAATAAACTTTGCAGAATGAGAAATGTGATTGTGAGACCATTCTCTCCTGAAAGACTTGTATAAGGAGATGATCACCAAATTAGACTCCTTCAGACATAAAAGCGTAACCATCTGTATTCATAGCTGAGGCCAAGATGCTTCTGTCTAAACTAGTGGTTCTCAAAATGTGGACCCTGTACCATCAACATCATCTGAATGCATTTGAAATACACATTTTCAAGCTCTACCTTAGACTACTAAATCAGAACCTCTGAAGTTAGGGCCCAAAAATCTAGGCTTTAAAACTCACCCTTTTCAGGTGATTTTGTTGCATGCTTCAGAGTTGTTCCTTGAATTAAGAAGGACCTTACAGGGCAAACAGGTAACATGGAGGTTAAGGTGTTGGACTCCCGCATAGCTGACTATGGTTTGAATCCTGGACCATCGGCTTGAAAATCGCATCCAGTGTTTATGTTTGTGCCCAAGACATCGAGAGGAGAATGGAGAAGGGATTGTGGTGTGGCCATATCCCCTGCGGGGGGTGATTTCTCATTTTCTCCTTCTCTCTCCAGTGAGTGCATGTACCCTATGGCAAAACCTAGTTTGTGCTAGGGTATGTACACTTGCTGGAGAGAGACAGAGAGAGAAAGTGAGAAATCACGTCCCAGAGGCAATGGCCACACCACAATCCCTTTTCCATTCTTCTGAGATTCGGGGCATGCACGCACATGCGCCTGGCATGATTTTGAAGCTGCCTGGTCCAGGTCTCAAACCTGTCAGCCATGTGGGAGTCCAGAACCTTAACCACCATGCCACCTGCTGGCCCCAAAAAAGACCTCAGCCATATCCTAGGTTTTAATTTCCTAGACTATTCTGTGGTATGAGTTATCAAAAGCGTACCCTAGACTCAGCTTCATGTAGTATCTAGGCTCAGAAGACCAAAGAGGTTAACATTCTGTAGGCAGATCATAGATCTGAGTTGGGTTTAGAAAGTTCCTTTTCTACAGCCTCACTGGGTTTTCTACAGCCTCAGTGGAGTTTTGGCTTTTCCCATTTCCCAAACTCTTTTCTCATTTCATATCTCATTAAGACAAGTTTAGCATTTAGGGAGATTGAAAGTAGAGTTTTGGGATACAGCAAATGGTATAATGGTTATGTTGGTGGACTCCCACATTGCTGACCACAGTTCGAGTCCCAGACCCAGTGGCTTTAAACTCACACTGGGCACATGTGTGTACATGCCCAAGAGCCCCGGAGGAAAATGGAGGAAAAGAGATTGTGGCATGGCTATCCTCCTGGGAGAGTGATTTCTCATTTCCCTCTCACTGTCCCTGTCTCTCTCTTTCTGGCAAGTGCACATGCCCTAAGGCAGAAACCTTTAAAAAAGACAAGAAAAAAGAAAGTAGAGTTTCGTGATCTGTGAAGGTAAGAATAAAAGAAAATAAAAGTACAAAGTATGATCCATTAGACTTAAGACCTTTTAAATTGCATTCTGCAGTAATATCCCAGGTTTTCCCTTCTTAAAGTCCTTTAAGGTGAGTGCGCTTTTATCTGCATGGTGAGGGATTCCACTGCCACCCCAACTTGGCCTGGGGTGACAGTGGAGTTAACTGAACGTTGTCATTATCATTGTCATTACATTAATCTACCAGTACTGGTAGTCCAGGACTAGAAAAGGATGAAACACCCTAAAGCTTCAACTGAGATAGAATAGAAACAAAAATAACATGTCTCATGGTTCTGGAGCAGAGAGGCGTTTCTAAAGTGAGTGAAGGAAAAGAGGGTTGTAGCCAGAAGGCATCCCACTCATGTGCCCTAGTGGCTGGTCTGAATTTTTGCAGTTTCCGCGTGCTCATACCCTAGAGTGCTGCATGCTTGCCTCACAGCAGAGGGCGCTGCTGTATTCTCTAAGCCAGCTGCCCAAGCCTGCAGCGTCCATGCCTAGCTACTGACTGTTTTGTCAAGAATAAAGCTACCTAAGCCCTTGCGCTCAGCTCACAGGTCTGTGGACACAGGGGTGAGGGAGCTGCTGCTACACAACATGGAGATGGCTGAGGGAAAGAGGCTGCCCCTTCTCACTACCCATACATGTGTCCTCATTACCCAAGCAGGAATTTCAGTCGCCTGAGGAAGAAAGAAGAAAGTATGTGAAGCACCTCCTCTTCCAAGTGTGAAGAAGGGTCCCCACTCACTTCCTACCCTAGTGGATCATTTCCTAATAATCTCCCAACCTGGGAAGAGATGGGTGTACATGTGTTTAGATTTTGGTAATCCCAGAATTTAACTGAGTTAAATTCTGAGTCTCTAAAGAAAATCTAGGGCTTAATTATTTACATTGTAAAAAATTATATTTGCCTAAAGGGCAACATTTCTGATATATTTCTTGTAATACCCTTCACTGTATGGGGACCATGTGATTTGATTCATGTTCATGCTATTTTTAAGAACAATAATAGTAACTGAGACCCGACAGTGGTACAGTGGTACAACATGATGTTCTGCAAGGCAAACTCACATGAGAAGGTTCTCAGTTGAAGTCTGAAGACCTCCCGGAGTATGCTGGGCACACACTTGACCATTATCCAGGGTTGGCTAAAGGCAAGACCCTGTTGAGAGTGCTGCCTCACTCTTTCTGTCTTTCTCACTCGTGAAAGAAATAAGTACACGTTAAAAAAAAAATAGTAACTAGGCCAGCAGATGGTGAAGTGGTTAAGGTGCTGGATTCCATATGACTGACTACGTGGTTCAAATTCCAGACCTAGCAGCTTGAAAATCATTCCAGAAGTATGTGCCTGAAGGTGCCCAGTACTCAAAATCCTGAGAGGAGAATAGAGAAGAGAAGGGATCGCAGCATGACCATCCCCCACTTTCCTTCCCTCTCTGGCAAGCACATGCACCCTGCAGCAAAAATCGAAGAAAAAAAAAAGTAACCAATCAAGTGCTTTCTACATACAAGACATTTTCTAAACTTATATAAATTAATTTAATTTTTACAACAATCCTATAAATCGGGTACTTATTATGTACATTTCTTTATACAAAGAAAGAAATCAAGAAATAGATATTAAATAGATTTAAGATCACATAGCAAAGTTAGGATTTGAACTCAGTATGGTGCCAGTCAGTTCCCTTCATTTATTTATTTTAGATTTTTTTTTTGGAGAGGTTTTTGCTATAGGGCACGTGTGCTCGCCAGACAGACAGAGAGAGACAGACAGAAAGCAAGAAATCACACACACCCCCAGGGGGGATAGCCACGCTGCAATCCTTTCTCCTCTCGGGATCTTGGGCACGCACACACACATGTGCCTGGCGTGAGTTTTAAGCCACCAGGTCTGGGACTCGAACTGCGGTTGACTACATGGGAGTCCAGCGACATAGCTATTATGCTAACTGCTGGTCCCTATTTTAGATTTTTGATGTAGGGCACATGCATTCACAGGAGAGAAGGAAAATGAGAAATCACCCTTTTATGGGTGATGGCCAGCCGCAATCCCTTTTCCTCTGTTCTCATGATTTGGGGCATACGCACACATGCACCTAGCATGATCCTCAAGCCCTGAGTCCAGTACGTAAACTATTACCAACATGTGGAAGTCTAATGCCTTAACCACCACATTACCTGCTGACCCCAGTGGCTTTTTTTTTTCTTCCAGTTTGTTTATTTAAGGAGAGATACACAGGAGAGACAGTGCTTCCAATAGGGTTGTGCATGTGTATGTGTGTATAATTTTTTAAAGAGATCTGAAATTTTAATTTTCACATTAAACATACTTGATAAAAAGTGTAAGACATCACTACCACATGAGATAAAAGAATGGAACACAAAACAAAAGGGGTGCCTTTATATCAGCACATGACCTGATTAAGACATTTTAACTATTTCACAGTTCTACTAAGCACAAGAATAAACTGGTTCTAATATACTTACAGCATTTGGCATTTTTACTGCAAGCTTTAAATCATAGTGTTACTCTTCTCAAGTCATCTCTAAGAAAGTGGCAGTGTTCCTAAGTATAAAAACTATTATCTCTAGCAGGTGGTATTGTACACAATCAAGGGAATTCTTTATAAAATTAAGTTTAAAAAATGTAGAATGTCTTGCTAATTACCAGCTGTCTTGAAAGCTAGCATCTCTAAGAAAGTGGCAGTGTTCCTAAGTATAAAAACTATTATCTCTAGCAGGTGGTATTGTACACAATCAAGGGAATTCTTTATAAAATTAAGTTTAAAAAATGTAGAATGTCTTGCTAATTACCAGCTGTCTTGAAAGCTAGCATCAGAAAAATGCAGAAAATATTAAGTATTTTTGATTAATATTATTTTACTTTAAGAAAGGCAGAAATGATTCTATTTCGAGAAATAAGCAATAATGATAAAAGATGTGATTAATGTACTGTATCTCTTTTAAGCTAAATCTACTTTTCCCCTTGGAGATGACAATTCAGACTTTTACATTCTTAATACCCTTTGTCCAGAACAGGATCCCATTTTAAACCATTATTTGAATGGAGTTCATCATCTTGTCTTTTTCTCCATAGGATGTTTTTTTTTTTCATTTCAGTATGCAAGCTGCTAAATGGCAATGACCCAGGCAGTATAAAGACTTTGTGCCACAACAAATGCTAATTTACAGTAACTGCCAACAGACACCAACAAACTACACCCAAGCCTGAAAGTTACTAGAGACAGTATTGAGGTCAGAACATGATTTTTCCTTATGATCGATCAGATTTCATTTACTAAATAATACTGTTATGAAATAAAAAACAAAAACCCTATAATGAATCCTCCCAAACCGGTATAATTTCCCAAATGATTTGTCGCTGGTTGCAGAACCTGTTCAGTCCTTCAATCCTTTTTCAGTTGTTTAGTTTTTGCAATATTTTCTTGACGTTTTTGTTTCTTCTTTTGCTCCTTCTCCCTGGCCTCAATCATCTTGGCTAATTTCCAGGACAGTACAGCACTTGCTAGAAACAGTGGAATAAGAGCCAGAATAACTGTTGTAAGGAAGCCATACAGGTCCTTTGCAGCCCA